CCAGGGTCTCACCACCCTCACAGTAAAGAATTTCCTTCTAGTATCTAACCTAAATCTCCCCTCTTCCAGTTTAAAACCATTACCCCTTGTACTTGGCCTGGTTGAACTTCATGAGGTTGACACGAGCCCGCCTTTCAAGGTTTTCAAGGCCTGTGGTTTTCAGGGCAGAAGAAAAGGTCTTGTATAATGGAGGCCTGGATATAAAGAAGTGTTTTAACCCTAGGGCCTGGCCCTGCTACGTGTTGTTAAATGTGGCTCTGGAGAATTGGGGTCCCTGGCCCCGCTACGGGTTGTTAAATGTGGCTCTGGAGAATTGGGGTGGGTAACCATGGCCAAGATGTCTCACCACCCTCATAGTAAAAAATTTCTTCCTGAAATCTAACCTGAACCTTTTTTCTTCCAATTTAAAACCGTTTCCCCTTGTCCTATCATTACACCTCCTGGCAAAGAGTCCTTCTCCAGCTCTTCTATAGGCTCCCTTCAGGTATTGAAAGGCTGCTATAAGGTCTCCCTGGAGCCTTCTCTTCTCCAGGCTGAACAACCCCAGCTCCCTCAGCCTGTCTTCATAGGAGAGGTGCTCCATCCCTCTGATCATCTTCATGGCCCTCCGCTGGACCCGTTCCAGCTGGTCCATGTCCTTTCTGTGTTGAGGACTCCAAAGCTGGACACAGTATTCCAGGTGGGGTCTCACGAGTGCAGAGTAGAGGGGCAGAATCACCTCCTGAGACCTGGAAGTCATCCGTCTGCCTTCATACCTGCTCTGCTGCCATGTCAGATGGTACCTCTCACTGAAGAAAGGGGCTCCTTGGAAGCGTTTCTCCTCTCAGCCACATCAAAGGTCTTAATATCAGGGTTTTTCTTTCTGGTTTGTCCCTTCCCCGGGTTAGGAAGGGGTTACTTGGAAGTGTTTCTCCTCTCAGCCCCATCAAAGGTCTTAATATGAGGGTTTTTCTTCTGGTTTGTCCCTTCCCTGGGTTGTGAGGCTGTCACAACTCCTGCTGCATATTTGTATGTCTCCCCTGCTTAGCCTGGAGCCTTGAGAGCTGCAGTTCTCACTCAAAGGACAAGGAATTTGTATCAAAGATACCTGGGTTCTTTACTCATCCTCACTACAGAGGTGTGGAAGAGAGACCTGCAGAGCTGTTTGACCATAGAACATTAGCATCTTCTTTGAGGAGCAGAAATTTCTGGCAGCAGAAATACAACCCTGGGGTGTTCTGTGATGGTGAGATGTTGAGATGTGATTGAGAGCACCCCTGAGAAGGACAAGGGAATAAAAAATGGGTCGTGGGCCAGCAACGTGTGCTGGTAGCCTAGAAAACCCCTCACATCCTGGGCTGTGTCCCCAGCAGCGTGGGCAGAAATTTCTGGCAGCAGAAATACAACCCTGGGGTGTTCTGTGATGCTGAGATGTGATTGAGAGCACCCCTGAGGAGAAGGACGTGGGGATAAAAAATGGGTCATGGGCCAGCAACGTGTGCTGGCAGCCTAGAAAACCCCTCACGTCCTGGGCTGTGTCCCCAGCAGCGTGGCCAGCAGGGTGAGGGAGGGGATTCTGCCCCTCTGCTCCGCTCTGGGGAGACTCCCTCCCCAGTTGCTGCCTCCAGCTTTGGGGCCACCAACATCAGGAGGACATGAACCTGTTGGAGGGGGGGCAGAGGAGGCCACGGAGATGCTGGGAGGGCTGGAGCCCCTCTGCTGGGAGGACAGGCTGAGAGAATTGGGGGGGTTCAGCCTGGAGAAGAGAAGGCTCTGGGGAGACTTTGGAGCCTCTTCCAGTCCCTCAAAGGACTCCAGGAGAGATGGGGAGGGACTCTTGATCAGGGAGGGGAGCCATAGGATGAGGGGGAAGGGTTCTACACTATAAAAAGGGAGATTTAGATGAGATATTGGAAAGAAAATTTTCACTCTGAGGGTGGTGAGAGCCTGGCCCAGGTTGCCCAGAGAAGCTGTGGCTGCCCCATCCCTGGAGGGGTTCAAGGCCAGGTTGGAGGGGGCTTGGAGCAACCTGGTCTAAGTTGAAGATGTCCCTGCCCATGGCAGGGGGTTGGAAAAAGTCCCTTCCCACCGAAACCATTCCATGATTTGATGATTTGCATACACTGGAGAGATCATCATCTCCTTTCTTTTTTTTTTCTAGGACTGGCTTCGTCAGGGCTGGGAGCGTGATGCACCTTAGGGAGCAGTTGACTGAAAAGGGCCAGTTTTCAAGCTTTACCAACGCTGAGAAAGGTAACGAGCTCTCCAGGGCCTTCCCCGGGCTGCTTCCCTCTGCGCCGCCTCATCCAGGCACCGGGCTGACAACTTAATTGTATGCTTCTCCCAGGCACGTGTGTTAATGTGCCTGCTGTGCTGTTCTTTTATGTAAAAAGGCACATAATTCCAGCTTTTAATACTCTACGGGCTTTTCAACTGAAATTTGTCCTGAGCTCTGATAGAAAGATGGGAATTGCGAGGTCTCTGCCTGGTGGCAGATTTTGCCAGAAGGGGAGAGGAAGGGGGTTGGAACTCGATGATCTTTAAGGTCCCTTCCACGCCAAACCATTCTATGATTCTAACAGAATTTAAACAAGGGAAATTTCCTTCACGTTTATACTTTGAGTTTTACCCCGATAATTCCAGCCCTGATGTCCCTTCTACAATCCAGCCTGATTTTTCATTCTGCCAAGATCGGCTTGTCTTTGAGTTCTGGTGAGTTATTTTAGGTTTCTCAAGGAGTGCAGTCTTGTTTTAAACAAGACAGAAAACACTTCCAGCTGCACCCCACCTCTCCCTGGTTGCAATCCCCACGTTCCCATCCACTCACAGCAAGGCCCTGTGTAGTTTACAACAAGAAAACGGGTTACACCAACACCAAAAATCACTGCAACAATCCAGAAGTACCTGGATAGTAAATAAGTGTCAATAATTCTTCCAGAAACAGCCCATAATCTAGTGGGTCAACAGCTATTGTATTTTGTGCTCTTGCATATTTATTTTAGCCAGGGATCAGAGAATCACAGAATGATATGGGCATGGAAGGAACCTCTGGAGATCATCTAGTCCAACCCCCTGCCAGAGCAGGGTCACCCAGAGCAGGTTGCACAGGAACGTGTCCAGGCAGGTTTGGAATGTCTCCAGAGAAGGAGACTCCACCATCTCTCTGGGCAGATTGTTCCAGGGCTCTGCCACCCTCACAGGAAAGAAGTTCCTCCTAAACATGTTCAGTGGAACTTCTTACATTCAAGTTTGTGCCTGTTATCTCTTGTCCTGTCACTGGGCACCTCTGAAAAAAGACTGGCCCCATCCTCTTGACACCCACCCTTTAAGTATTTATAGGTGTTGATCAGATCACCCCTAAGTCTTCTCTTACCCAGACTAAAATAAGCCCAAGTCCCTCAGCCTTTCCTCATCAGAGAGATGCTCCAGGCCCCTCAGCATCTTTGTAGCCTCTGCTGTCCCCTCTCCAGCAGTTCCCTGTCCTTCTGGAACTGGGGAGGCCCAGAACTGGACCCAGTGCTCCAGATGGGGCCTCCCCAGGGCAGAGCAGAGGGGCAGGATGACCTCCCTCCACCTGCTGCTCACACTCTTCCTGATGCCCCCCAGGATGCCACTGGCCTTCTTGGCCACAAGGGCCCATTGCTGGCTCATGGGCATCCTGTTGTCCACCAGGACTCCCAGGTCTTTTTCCTCAGAGCTGCTCTCCAGCAGGTCAGCCCCCAAACTGTCCTGGTGCAGGGGGTTATTCCTCCCCAGGTGCAGCACCCGACACTTGCCCTTGTTGAAATCCATCAGGATGGTTTAACTCTTCAGATTCTTGACTTTTCACAGCTGTCCCATTTCACTTTGAGTTTACACCGTTGGTGTTAGCACTGACCATCCATTAATGGCTCTGAGATGGTGGTGGCCTGGCTTGTAAGAGTGCAGGATCTGAGGGCTGGTTGGCTTTTTTTCATGCCCCCCCCAGGATTTGTGTATTAACCAAGAGCTTTCAGCTTTTAGCCTGGTTTTCCCCTCACCTAGAGTAAAAGAGGAGATTCCGGGTTCATAAAACGTTGGCTCCTGTTTATTTGGTAGCTTTTGCCTTCTGGATACCAGCAGCATTCCTGGTGTGACCTGTGCTTTTCTCTCACCTTCCAGATCCTGAGGAGTTCCTCAATCTCATAATGCAGCAGATCCTGGGAATAGAGCCCCTCTTGAAACTGCTGTAAGTTTCTGTATCTAAGCAATACAATTTACCCAGGCCAAGCTCATTAATTATCCCCCTCACGATCACCGGGTGTTACTTGTGCCTTTTCACCGAGGCTTTGGAGGCACAGCTCAGGGAGTTGCCTGCAGTCCATGTGATTTCCCTTGTTGTCATCCTGTCCCAGGTGACACGTCCAAGACAAGACACTTCCAAACTCTTCCCTGGAGGTGCCACCTTCAGAAAACGATGCTAAAAATCTTGTCTCATCCTCAGGGTGAGCCAGCGGTGGTTGGAGAAACGTAGGTGTCCGAGTTCAGTGCAGAGCCAGGAGTATCTGCCAGCCTTTGGGATGCTTTTGGGATGGGTCCAGGCTGTCGAGCTGGCTCAGGTCCATCAGCCTCTCAAACAGGCAGTCCATGGATGCAGTCCCGGTTTTTCAGGACTCTACAAAGAGGATGAGAGGTTGAAGGAAGCCAAAAATAACTGCGCTGTTCGGGGAGCACAGTAAGGGGATTGTTGGGTTTCTGTGCTCCTTTGTGGAGAGCCGTCAGTCAAGCCGTAGATGGTGGAGGACTCGGAAAGGCTGAGCACAAAGAGGACTCTGTGCTGGCAGCTCCCCCGCAGAGGGTCATCCCAAGGAAATCCTTTCTCCGCTGGCTCGGGGACGCGGGGGCTGTGGGAGACCTGCTGCAGGCAGCTCACCTTCTGAATGCACTGAGTTTTGCTCCCTGCCTTTTGTATGCACAGTTATAAATACATCCTTCTTCTGAGGAGGGGTTGGCCGATGGTTCTGTAGATTTTAAAACCACTGAAAGGTCCTTTAATATTTACATCGATGAGGGGAAAGCGAGTTTTGCTCATAGGAGCAGGATGTGACGCTGTGGAGGGATAACGAGACAAAAGATGCTCCTTGCATCCTCTCACTATATATATTTAGTATTTCTGGGTGGAAAAAAGTGCTTCGTGTCGATGGTCCACCAAGCAGCCCTTGGTGCCTTGGCTCCAGAAGCTTATGGAGGACAACCCAGTATGTCCCTCTGGGAGCTCAGATGTTGGTGGCGCCGCGTAAACAAGCCCCGTGACCAACTCCTTGCAGGTCAGAAAAACGGAAGGAGCAGCAGGACGGTTACTGTCACCAGATAATTATGGACAAACGGGAGGATCTGGTGGTTCCTGAGGTCCAGCAGTTAGTGGAACACTCCTTCCTGGCCTCCGATCTGAAGCTGATGGAGGTGAGCCCGGCTCCGTCCGCCTCTGCTGCTCTTTGCCACCTCTTTCTTGCTTCCTCCAACGTACCTCTGCCTGCCAACGAGTCTGCTGGGGGTCTGGTATATCTTAAAAAGCTGCAAAAAAAAGCAGGATACAGCCACAAGAGAGAGAGATCTTGGGGAATCTCAGCTCTGCTTTCCCTGTTGCCGTTTTGTCTGGTGAAGAACTGGAGCAGAAAGTCTTCCCTCCCCAGCAGCGACACGGAGAGTCTCTAGGACTTGTCTCTTCTGACCTGGTCATTTCTTTGCTTTTCTTTTCCCAGATCCCTTCTTGTTTCATCATCCAAATGCCACGTTCTGGGAAGGAATATAAAATGTTCAGCAAAATCATTCCTTCCTTGGAGCTGGATATAACGGATCTGCTGCTGGACAGTAAGTTGGTGGGCAACGGTAAAGCTGCTGGTTGGGACTCTGCGAGCAACCAGGCCACAGATCTCGCCTCTTTGGGTTGTGAGCAGATGTAGGGTGGGCTCACGGTGTGGTGGTTCTTCCCCTGACCACCAGTTTTGGCAGGAGAGGTCGGATTTTGGGTAAGACCTGGAGGAGACACATCCCTCTCACCCTGCAGGTCCCAGGGAGTGCTGCGTGTGCGAGACCTGGAGAAGGCCCATCCCTCTCACCCCTGTTGTCCCTGCAGGTCCCAGGGAGTGCTGCGTGTGCGGTGACGTCGCCACCCTGGAGTGTGCCGCGTGTTTCAAAGACAAGGTGTTTGCGGCCACGGGCCTGAAGCAGTTCTGCAGCTCCTGCTCCAGACAGGTATTGGTTTTCTTGGGGTGCTTGTGAAATCTTCTTTGGTGGCTGACAGCATAGAATCATAAAATTGTAGAATTGTGTAGGTTAGAAGGGACCTTTCAGGTCATTGAGTCCAACCATCAACCCAACCCTGACAAACCCACCACTAACCCATGTCCCTCAGCACCACGTCTGCCCAGCTTTTAAATCCCTCCAGGGATGGTGACTCCACCACTTCCCTGGGAAGCCTCTTCCAGTCTTGATAACCTTTTTATTGTAGAAATTTTTCCCAATATCCATCGTAAACCTCCCCTGGCGCAACTTGAGGCCGTTTCCTCTTGCCCCATCGCCTGTTCCTTGGGAGAAGAGACCAATCCCCACCTCTCTACACCCTCCTTTCAGGGAGTTGTTGAGACTGATAAAGTGTCCAAACCAGATTGAATCCTCCCAAAATACCCGCATTTCCTGTGCTGTCCCTGCAGCTGTTAAGGTTTGGGCACAAAGGAGCTCCTTCCTGAGCACCAGTCCCACCATCTCCATCAGCTTCTTGGATATTAAACTCTCTGCTTGCACAGAGCCTAAATAAGGACCAATCCTGTGTGGACTGAGTGCTGGGCCCTCCATGCTGGTTCACCAGGAGCATTCCTACACCTTTCTGGCCTTTTTTTGGAGGGTGGCAGGCTCACTTCTCAGCTTCTTGCTGCCAACCTGTCAATACAATGCCATTCCCTGGCACGTAGAATCAGAGAATGGTTTGGGTTGGAAGGGACCTTAAAGATCATCTCTTTCCAATCCCTCTGCCCTGTGCAGGGACAGCTCCCACCAGACCAGGTTGCTCCAAGCCTCATCCAGCCTGGTCTTGAACCCCTCCAGGGATGGGGCAGCCACAGCTTCTCTCACCACCCTCTCCAGGCTCTCACCACCCTCACAGCAAAGAATTTCTTCCCAGTATCTCATCTAAATCTCCCTTTTTATAGTGTAGAACCCTTCCCCCTTGTCCTATGGCTCCCTTCCCTGATCCAGAGTCCCTCCCCAGCTTTCCTGGAGCCCCTTGAGGGACTGGAAGGGGTCTAAGGTCTCCCTGGAGCCTTCTCTTCTCCAGGCTGAAGAAGGAGGGAGAAGTTGGCTGTGTGGGAGGCAGATCAGTTGGGAAAAAACTGGGGGTCTGACCTCTGCACGCTCCTCTTTGAGGCCAGGTTTGGTTTTCTCCCCACTCAGCAGTGTCACCCCATCGTTTCTCCTCAGGTTCATTCCCACTATCGACGCAAAACGCACAAACCAACCAGGCTGCACGTCCCAGAAGAGTTTCGGAGCCGGAACCCCCGGGGCAACCAGCAGGTCCCTCGTGAGAAGATGGAGCTCTTCGCCGTGCTGTGCATCGAGACCAGTCATTACGTCTCCTTTGTGAAATACGGCCCGGAGAACGAACATTGGATGTTCTTCGACAGCATGGCTGACAGGCATGGTGAGGACGTGGTGGTGGGCTCGGAGCTTTGGTGGTAGCTGGGTGCTGTACAGTGAGCAGCTGTGAGGGTCTACAACAGTCTATGATGCTAATCATAGAATTGTCTTGGTTGGAAGAGATCTTTAAGATCATCCATTCCAACCATCAACCCAACACTGACAAACCCACCACTAACCCATGTCCCTCAGCACCACCTCTGCCCAGCTTTTAAATCCCTCCAGGGATGGTGACTCCACCACTTCCCTGGGCAGCCTCTTCCAAGGCTTGATAACCTTTTTGTTGTAGAAATTTTCCCCAGTATCCATCCTAAACCTCCCCTGGTGCAACTTGGGGCTATTTCCTCTTGTCTCATCACCTGTTCCTTGGGAGAAGAGACCAAGCCCCCTGTTGCTACACCCTCCTTTCAAGAAGTTGTAGAGAGTGAGATCTCCTGTCATCCTCCTCTTCTCCAGGCTGAACGCCCCCAGCTCCCTCAGGTGTTCCTCAGAAGTTCTCCAGACCTTTCTCCTTAGTCTCCAGACCCCTCCCCAGCTCCATTGCCCTTCTCTGGACACGCTCCAGCCCCTCAATGTCTTTCCTATAGTGAGGAGCCCAAAACTGGACACAGAATTCCAGGTGGAGCCTCACCAGAGCCGAGTACAGGGGGACCATCATTTTTATGATCCTGCTGGCCACACTGTTCTAGATACAGGCCAGGATGCTGTTGGCCACCTGGGCACACTGCTGGCTCATATTCAGCCAGCTGTTGACCAACCCCCAAGGTCCTTTTCCACCAGGTGGCTCCAGCCATTCTTCCCCAAGCCTGGAGCGCTGCATGGGGTTGGTGTGACCCTCAGTCACAAAAGCTTTTTCTTCTGAAGCTCCCAACCATGATTCAGGCCCTCTCTTCCACTTAAGCAGACCCCAGAGAAGAGTATGACCAGGCCAAGCATATCTGAGGTCCTCCTAGTGCTTTCATCCTTGTGTTCAAACATGGGACTTCTGGAGCCCAGTGGGACTGGCCACCATGTGGGTGAGGACATGGTTCTCTTGTCCTTCCCCACCTTGTTGTTGGCTCCAGATCTCTCAGCTGAGGTGCTAAGTTACTGTCATAGAATCATAGAATTGTCCAGGTGAGAATCATAGAATGGTTTGGGTTGGAAGGGACCTCAAAGATCATCGAGTTCCAACCCCCCTGCCATGGGCAGGGACACCTCCCACTAGAGCAGGTTGCTCAAGGCCACATCCAGCCTGGCCTTGAACACTTCCAAGGATGGGGCATCCACAACTTCCCTGGGCAACCTGTTCCAGAGAAGGAACCTTTCAGATCATTGAGTCCAACCATCAACCCAACAAAAACCATCACTGAAGCGTATCACTAATTGAGTGTGATGGTTCCTACGCGAGCTGTAGGTTCCTCAAGGCCTGGTTTGGACTTTTCTCCTTCTTTCTTGGCTTAGGTGATGAAAATGGCTTTAACATCCCCACGGTAACGCTGTGCCCTGAAGTTGCCAAATACCTGGCCTTGCCGTTGGCCAAGTTGGCCGAAAAACAACCTCGGGACATGGATGGAGTCACCAAACGCCTCTTCTGCGACGCCTACATATACATGTACCAGAGCAAGAAGATGGCCCTTTACAAGTGACCCTGCCTCGGGCCGGTGCCTTAGAGACGTTGGAAACGTGAGCTCGGATCAACCCCTCAGGTCGTAATCGGTGAAAACACCCAATTCTGGGTGCCCCAAGCTCCAGCTTCTGCCTCTTCTGACCTCTTCTGGTGTCTGGTATCAAGTTGTCCACATTGGCCTGGCTGGGGTCGTTAGATCCTGTATCCGGCCTCATCAAGTGATGGTTTGTGCTTCCTGCAGACCTGGATTTTGAGTTATTTCCACACAAATTCATTCTCATTTTCCAGCCTCCTCCTTCCCCGGGCGCGCTGTAGCTCTGTCCTACCTCAGAGCCCTCCCCAACATCCTTATCATCTCCCTTCCAAAGCTGGAAGAACCAGAGGAGATCCTGGGCCCGAAGACCAGAATCTAATCAAAACATGAGCAATTATTCTCAAATTTGCAAAAAGTGCAGTCCTGAACTGGGTTGCCCAGATTCTGAATTTCACCGACTGGGCACCAAAACCTTGAGGGACACACCCAGGAGCCCCAGATGTGGAGCTGTAATTTCCCTCCTCCTCTTCTTTTCTCCTCTTTAACGAAGGCTGCACTAATTTTAATACGTGGCCTGTAGCTTTGTCTCGTGGCTTGGGTTACAGGTGGTTTAGGACCTTTTTTTTGCTTGCCAGCAGGGTTGGGACACCAACTGGGACCTCAACGGCTTCATGGCTTAATGAGCTTTCTGGTGTGTCCCCTATTTCTATATTGGGCGGCTACAAAGCATGGCCAATGTGTAACGAACCCAGACTGATAATGGTAATTAACAGTTGATATCAAGTCAGCTTCCAGATGTCCTTACTGAGCATCTGGGCCTCAACACCAAGTTGACCATGAGGCACCAGTACGTCCTCATGGTAGAGAAGGTGAACAATGTCCTAGAAGTGTTGCCAGAAGGTCAAGGTCAAGGAATGGGATTTTCACTGCCTCTGCACAGCACTGGTAAGGTCATACCTGGACTACTGGATCCAGTTTGGGGTTTCCCAGTAGGAGGGAGACAAAGAGAGTCCAACAAATGGCCATGAAGATGATGGACTGGAGCATCTCTCCCATGAAGAAAGGCTGGGAGAGATGGGACTTTTCAGCCTGAAGAGAAGACTCCAGGGGACTTGTCCAAAGGGTGCAAAGAGGACAGAGCCAGACTCTTCCCGGTGCCCAGTGCCAGGACCAAAGGGGCCAACTGGAACACAGGAGTAACATCAGGAAACATTTCTTCACCGTGAAGGTGACAAGTCCTGATGCAGGTTGCCCAAAGAGAGGTGGTGGGGGGTCTCCATCCTTGGAGATACTCAGGATGGTCGTGGGCAAAGCCAAAGCACCAAAGGTTGGAGAGAGACGGTGGCAGATGGAGCAACGGATGGTCCTGAGGATGGATTTACCCTGGTCCCACCCATTAACTGACTCACCAACCTCTCCAACCACAGAGAGGACCAAGGGGCACTGCTATCTCATCTTTTGTCATCTATTTAAAGATGTTCTTCATTCCTTCTCTCCTAAGAACTCAGGACAATCTCTACTCAGGTACGCTGGGCCTTGGGCTCTTCTACCTCTGATGCTTCTGCTCGAAAAATGTAAGTTTAATAACAAACTGCTCTTGGTTTTCCTGGAGTTTTGTGGGGGTTTTTTTTCCCTCTCTTAAAATGCTAAATGTCACACGGTGTCTGCAGCTGGAGCATTGGACCAGGGAGCTCCACGTTGGGTTTTTTTTGAGGAACAGGAGCCCATCAGGCCATGCTTTGTTAAGAGGGGAGATCGAGGTGAGATCTGGGGAAGAACATCTTTGGTGTGAAGGTGGTGAGAGCCTGGCCCAGGTTGCCCAGAGAAGCTGTGGCTGCCCCATTCCCTGGAGGGGTTCAAGGTCAGGTTGGAGGGGGCTTGGAGCAACCTGCTCTGGTGGGAGGTGTCCCTGCCCAGGGCAGGGGGGTGGAACTGGATGATCTTGAAGGTCCCATCAAACCCAAACCATTCTGTGATTATATGTCTGAGCCCCTCCCCAGCTCTCCTGGAGCCCCTTGAGGGACTGGAAGGGGCTCCAAGGTCTCCTTGGAGCCTTCTCTTCTCCAGGCTGAACCCCCCCAACTCTCTCAGCCCCCCCTCCCAGCAGAGGGGCTCCAGCCCTCCCAGCATCTCCATGGCCTCCTCTGGCCCCACTCCAAGTCAGCACTTGCGTTTCATTCCAGCTTTATTCAGCCATGAACCGTAAAGTGAAGGACGTTGAAGTCAAGGTTCAAGCTTGAAGGCAACGAAAGTCAGCACTTGCTTTTCATTCCAGCTTAATTCAGCCATGAACCGTGAAGTGAAGGACCTTGAAGTCAAGGTTCAAGCTTGAAGGCAACGAGTGTTTTGAAGGACCAGAGCAGCCACACGACGTGGCCATAGCCATAATGTGTAATGGTCTTTATTTCATTTTGTTTTTTCTTAGGATGAAGTTAATCGTGGGGATTAGTGTCATGTGTCCTCTATGAACATCAGGTTAGAGAGGTCAACCTGGAGCTGGTGTCAACCTTGACCAGGCCTCCACGCCCCAGGGCCCAAGTACAAAATGGAAAGAGATGAAATGTGGCCACTAAGCCAAAGCCTAGAAGGGGAAGGGCAAGGTGCATCCACCACGGATGTCCCACAGGACAAGGGCTGGGGACAGGCTGGGCCTTCCCATGGTAGGACTCCTTCTTGTGAACTCCAGACTTGGTCTCTAGAGCCATCAAGGAGCTTCGGTACGGGCTGCCACTGCAGAAGGTGCAGGGCTGGCAGGGCCACCAAGATGGGCAGCATGGCCATGGTAGAAGGCACAGGGCTGGTAGGGCCACCAAGATGGGTAGCATGGCCATGGTAGAAGGCACAGGGCTGGTAGGGCCACCGAGATGGGCAGCATGGCCATGGTAGAAGGTGCAGGGCTGGCAGGGCCACCAAGGTGGACAGCATGGCCATGGTAGAAGGTGCAGGGCTGGCAGGGCTACCAAGATGGGTAGCACGACTATGGTAGAAGGCACAGTGCTGGCAGGGCCACTGAGGTGGGCAGAGCTGCCATGGTAGAAGGCACAGGGCAACCAAGGAAGGCAGGGAAGGAGCATCATCTCCAGAAGTTGTGGAGACCTTTGCATCCCAGCTCCACCTGCCCCATCCCCTCTGTGCCCAGCTTTGCCGACCAGGCCTCCACGCCCCAGGGACCGGGTACAAAATGGAAAGAAATGAAATGTGGCCACCAAGCCAAAGCCTAGAAGGGGAAGGGCAAGGTGCATCCACCACGGATGTCCCACAGGACAAGGGCTGGGGACAGGCTGGGCCTTCCCATGGTAGGACTCCTTCTTGTGAACTCCAGACTTGGTCTCTAGAGCCATCAAGGAGCTTCAGTACGGGCTGCCACTGCAGAAGGTGCAGGGCTGGGAGGGCCACCAAGATGGGCAGCATGGCCATGGTAGAAGGCACAGGGCTGGTAGGGCCACCAAGATGGGTAGCATGGCCATGGTAGAAGGCACAGGGCTGGTAGGGCCACCGAGATGGGCAGCATGGCCATGGTAGAAGGTGCAGGGCTGGCAGGGCCACCAAGGTGGACAGCATGGCCATGGTAGAAGGTGCAGGGCTGGCAGGGCTACCAAGATGGGTAGCACGACTATGGTAGAAGGCACAGTGCTGGCAGGGCCACTGAGGTGGGCAGAGCTGCCATGGTAGAAGGCACAGGGCAACCAAGGAAGGCAGGGAAGGAGCATCATCTCCAGAAGTTGTGGAGACCTTTGCATCCCAGCTCCACCTGCCCCATCCCCTCTGTGCCCAGCTTTGCTACTGAGACCCCAGGAAGCACTTCCAGTTCCTGCAGGGTCCTCGGATCGGCACCTCGGGGCAGCAGCAGCATCATTAGAACCATTGATTCCCAATTAGTCATCTGGTCTTCAAAAAAGGATAGAAGAAGAGCTGGTCCTTGGCAGGGGTTGTCCCCAGCGTGGACACCACAGGGGACAAGTGGGGACCTCCTCACTGGCTGGCCTGCCGCAGCTTGGTGAGAAGGTGGTGCAGCTTCTCTGTCACTGCCACCTGGTAACAAGAGCAAGAGGGGACAATGAGTGTGAGCTCCCAGGGTGGCTGCAGCTCTGTGGTGGCTTTGCTCAGGTCACCAGAGCCCAGGAGGGTGGCCAGGTGTGTACTGATGGTGACAGCAAGTGGGGGACGTACCGGGTAGGGCTGTGGCTCACGGAGCCGGCGGTGAGCGGGACTGAGAAGGCTGAGGGACACCTGCGCGTGGTTCCTCACCTCCATCAGGCTGGGCAGTGGCTCACACACCTACAGGATGGAGAAGCATGACCATGACCATATCTATGTGGAGAGCTGGCCACCCAACCCCAATCCCCAACGAGCCAGCCCCAAGCTGGACTCTGATGCCACCATGTCCAGGGTGGCACCTGGGTTGTTGGAACAGGGGACATCTTGGACACCAGGAAAGGCTGGGGTTTAAACCATCGATTCTGCCATTCCTGCCAAGACACCACCACCCAACTTGGTCCTTCAGCCAACATTGGGGAGGACACCCCAACACCAGAAGGCAGAACCAACCCTGACCTGGCCATCTCTGAAGTACGTGCGATGGAGGGGCTCCACGGTGGTGGGCACAACCTTGCTGGTCTCACCAAGCTGCCCCAGGACACGGACCGCCAGCTCCTGCCCCGCACTGGGTGAGGGCTCCTCCTCCAGAGCCATGAGGTCCATGAAGGGGTGACCTGTAGGGATGCCAAGTTAGTGGCCAGTGGGTACATGGGACACGGGGGACAGGGTTATGGAGCTGGAGGGGACCACAGGTCAACAGGGAAGCACCGTAGCAAGGATGTCACAACTCACCGGCAGCATCATAGAGCCGATAGATGGTCTTGGACCCTGGGATGGTCATCTTCTCCTCATCTTCTGTGAGCTTCAGGCATGGGGAGCCATTGACCTCCACCAGCTGTAGGAGAAGAAGGTTAAGGAGATGGACACCTTGCTCTGAGGGTGGTGAGAGCCTGGCCCAGGTTGCCCAGAGAAGTTGTGGATGCCCTTCCCTGGAAGTGTTCAAGGCCAGGTTGGAAGGGGCTTGGAGCAACCTGGTCTGGTGGGAGGTGTCCCTGCCCAGGGTAGGGGGGCTGGAAGGAGATGATCTTTGAAGGTCCCTTCCAACCTAAACCATTCTAGAAGTTGATGAAGTTGACCTACCTTGTAAACGCAGCCCAGTGATGGCTGCAGGGGACACGTCACCAGGTTTGTCCCGACACCGATCATGTTGATCTCGCTCCCCTGGTGTGGCAGAGAAGATGGTGGCCATCAGAAGGCCAGCCCTACCACCAGTTTTTAAGCCCAGGGCAAAACCAGAGCCACAGGGTAGGTCAGAGGATGCTCCAACCCAAGGTTCCTGGTGTCTGTCTGTCCATCCATCCCACCAAGAAGCGCAGAAGCTGCTCTCACCCAGGGAGAAAGTCCCAGGTGATGCTCATGGCCACCCCTCAGCGGTGCCAGCAAAAGCCCAGGTGACATCCCAACCCCACCAGGAGCTCCCTCACCTCCCGGCTGAACTCCTCCAGGCTCTGCTCACTGATGTCATTGCTGACGGCGATGGGGATGGTCTCAAACCAGGGCACCTGGAAGCTGGGAGGTGACACGGGGGGGTTAAAGGTGACACCTGGCTCTGCTTTCAGCACCCAACTCAAGGTCTCCAAGGTGATGAAGCCACCAGGGACTGGTGGGGAGGGACTCACTGAGCACCGCAGGCTCGGAGGACTTGGCGGATCTCCTTGGATTGCTGGGCCAGGTCCCCGCTGTCCAGGCGCACCCCGATGGCCCGGTAGCCCAACTGGTGGAGGGCCAACGCCACCGCGCAGAAGTTGGGCAAACCACTCCTGGGATGGGGTGAGGAGAAGGTTAGTCCTGGTGGGACAGGGACCCAGGGCAGATCCAACAGCCCATCCCAGCCCCACATCCACCAACAGTGAAGCACAGGTAGAAATGTCCCTCGTTGAAGGCCACCAAGCAAGGAGGGATGTGTTTGTTGGCCACCATGGCAAAACCATCCCACTGTTCTGGTTTGAGCGAGGACTCAGGACTAATTAGTGTTATTAATGTTAATTATTTAGTCTTATCCTATTATATCTATTTATATTTCAATCCTGGGGTTTCCTTGGTTTTCTCCGATGGGTTCCCCCTGGGTGGGGAGGGGTCATCAGTGACAGAGTAATTGTCTAAATGACAATAAATTGTGTGTTCCTCACACCATAACACGGGGCACCACGGAGCTGGGGAGGAACAGCACCAGGACTGGGGTCACTGGTGGGAGTGGGATTTGGGAAAGCCCCAGGAGGGATGAGGAGATGCTGGGACATGGCAGGTGACACCAGCACAAGGTAACACCTTTCCATGGCCTTGGGGTGGGGACATGATCAACCTCAGGCAGGAGATCCCCAAGGATTCAACTCGGTTTTCCTTGGGTTTTTTCCCAGTTCCCCTTTCCTGGGTGGGGGGAAATGGTTGAGGGTTCCTCCAAGTGTCACCTCCACTCAGTGTCCCTCACCTCCTGACGCAGTAGGTGTCCAGCAGCCCCTGGAAGTCCTGGGGGAAGGTGACAGCGTAGGACACGAAGGCGGCCAGCTCGCCCTGGTTGGTCTTCTCCAGGGGGGTCCCCAGCAGGTCACACACCCTCCGCAGCCACTGCTTGGTCAAGGATGGAAGATCCACTGGTTCTCCTCCTGCCAGTGGTGGCAGCTCCTGTCCATAGAGGAGAGGGGGTGACACAGGCATTGGGACACTCCTTGTGACATCCTCATCCTCGTCCCCCATCCGTGGTGACACTCACCCTGGGCCTCACCTCCTCCAGGGAGGTGAAGGACATGATGAAGGAGTGGGCGATGGTGCCACGCACCGGGATGCCGTAGAGCTTCCCCGCCAGGATGTTGCTGGTGCAGTCGAAGCCTGCGAGGAAGGACGGAGGAGGAGGGGACACACGGGTGACAGCGTGGCCGCGGCGCCGTGGGGCACCATGGGGCAGCACTCACCCCCGATGTAGGAGTATTTGGAGGCTGAAAGGGCACCATCCGGTCCCTGAGCGCGACGGAGCCCGATCTCCATCAGCTTCATGTCCGGGCCGGCGAGGAGGCGGAAGCGGGCAGCGTTGGTGGCCACCAAGCTGTGGAGAAGAAGGGACAGGTGAGAACAAGCCAGGTTGAACATGGAGCCAAGGGTTGAGGAGCTCCAGGACCTTCTTTGCTTGACCACAGCCAAGCTGTAGGAACGTGACAGGGACCTCAGTGGGACTCGGAGGGTTTGGTACAGCAGAGAGGGACGCTGTCCCCAGCAGTCCCCAACACCTTGGGGAGGCTGTGGAGAAGAAGGGACAGGTGACAACAAGCCATGAAGCCAAGGGTTGGGGAGCTCCGGGACCTTCTTTGCTCAACCACAGCCAAGGTGTAGGAACGTGACAGGGACCTCAGTGGGACTCGGAGGGTTTGGTACAGCAGAGAGGGACGCTGTCCCCAGCAGTCCCCAACACCTTGGGGACCAGAGTAGGACATGTCCCCTACCTGGCATAGTTGACCAGGCACAGCAACGTGGTCTCCAGCAGCTGCACCACCAGCAGCGGCCCCTTCACCTGTAGGAACGGGACCTGTGGGGACAGCCAGGCAGTGACATCCCCGTCCTCCCTGGGGACACAAGAGCAGATGTCCCCAAACCCCAGGGAGGGGACTGAGCGTGTCCCACCCTGGCGAAGACGACGGAGCCCTCCGGCACGGCGGTCAGTGTCACCTCCGAGGCGTCCAGGGTGGCCAAGTAGTCGAAGAAGGCGTCCTCGGTGGTGCTGGGCAGGACGGAGCGCAGGTAGGCAACGTCTGTGGGGACAGACGGCCACCAAGGTGGATTGTCCCCTGAGCCACAGACAGGCTGGAACCCCCTCCATGGCTGGGACAGGTGACAGTTGGTGGCCAGGGTTGTCCCCAACCCTTGGCCTCCCCAAGTGCCCTCTTGAGGGACTGTCCATGGGAGCACTGTCCTCCTGGAGGGTGTCCTAATGTTCCCCAAGTTTCCTTGAAGGTTGTCTATGTCTATGCCTGTATTGTCCTGAAGGGTTCACCTGTCCCCCGGGTCCCTCCAAGGGATGTCCCTGCTCCCCTTCCCCATCCCACCACCCCTCAAGTCCTCCTGTCCCTCTTCAGCCTTCCCTGTCCTTCCAGGTCCCCCTGAAAGATCCCCCCTGAGGGATGTCCCTGTCCCAACCAGGTCCCCTGTTCCCCAGGTCCTTCTGAGGGATGTCCCTGCCCCCCTTCCCCATCCCACCACCCCTCAAGTCCTCCTGTCCCTCTTCAGCCTTCCCTGTCCTTCCAGGTCCTCCTGAAAGATCCCCCTGAGGAGCCCCCTGATCCCTGAAGGATGTCCCTGTCCCAACCAGGTCCCCTGTTCCCCAGGTCCTTCTGAGGGATGTCCCTGTCCCCTGTAAGTCCCCCCGAGGGGTTCCCCTGTCCCCAGGCCCCCCCCCGAGGTCTGTCCCTCTCCCCTCAGCCCCCCCAAGAGCTCCCTGTTCCCCAAGTCCTTCTGAGGGATGTCCCTGTCCCCTGTAAGTCCCCCCGAGGGGTTCCCCTGTCCCCAGGCCCCCCCCCGAGGTCTGTCCCTCTCCCCTCAGCCCCCCCAAGAGCTCCCTGTTCCCCAAGTCCTTCTGAGGGATGTCCCTGTCCCCTGTAAGTCCCCCCGAGGGGTTCCCCTGTCCCCAGGCCCCCCCCCGAGGTCTGTCCCTCTCCCCTCAGCCCCCCCAAGAGCTCCCTGTTCCCCAAGTCCTTCTGAGGGATGTCCCTGTCCCAACCAGGTCCCCTGTTCCCCAGGTCCTTCTGAGGGATGTCCCAGTCTCCACCAGGTCCCTCTGAGGGGAGGGCTCTCCTAGTGCCCCTGAGAGATGGCCCTGTCCTTCTAGAAGCTGTCTCTGTCCCCAACAGGTCCCCCTGAGGGGTTCCCCTGTCCCCCAGGTCCCCCTGGAGGGTTGTCCCAGTCACTCTGAGGGACTTCCCTGTCCCCACCAGGTCCCCCTGCTCCTCAGGTGCAGGTCCTCCTAAGTGCTGTCCCACTGAAGCTGGTCCCTGTCCCCACCAGGTTGCTCTGAGGGATGTCCCTGCCCCCAGTAAGTCCCCCCAAAGGGTTCTCCTGTCCCAAGTCACCCCCCCGAGGTCTGTCCCTCTCCCCTCAGCCCCCCCAAGATCTCCCTGTTCCCCAAGTCCTTCTGAGGGATGTCCCAGTCTCCACCAGGTCCCTCTGAAGGGTCTCCTAGTGCCCCTGAGAGATGGCCCTTTCTCTCCCAAATTCCCCTGAAGGGTCCCCTCCCTGTCCCTAGGGTCCCTCTGAGGGATGTCCCTGTCCCCCTCCCCACCAGGTCCCTCTGAGGGATGTCCCTGTCCCCCGTAAGTCCCCCCGAGGGGTTCCCCTGTCCCCAGGGACACCCCCCCCCGAGGTCTGTCCCTCTGTAGGTCTCCTGTCCCCGTCCCCTGGAGGACCCCCCTGAACGGTTCCCCCATC